GGAGTTGCACTGGTGCAAAACTGGTATAAGTGAGAAGAGAATCAGGTCCCTTGTCTCAAACATTGAATTGCTGTAATGTATCTTTTTTTATCTTCTTTCTTTCTCTCTTTCTTAAGATGACCTTGAATGATGCCATGAGGAGCAAGGCAAGGCTGTCAATTACAGGAAGTACTGGAGAAAATGGACGTGTTATGACTCCAGAATTTCCAAAAGCAGTGCATGCAGTACCTTATGTGAGTCCTGGCATGGGAATGAATGTCAGTGTGACTGATCTCTCGTGATTGATAAGAACCTTTTGAGTGCCTTACACAATGGTTTTCTTGTGCGTTTATTGTCAAAGTGGTGAGAGGCATCCAGTATCTTGAAGACTTTCCTTTCAGCCAAGAATTCTTTTCTTTGTGGAGTTCATCTTGAATTGTAATGAATGCTTAGTACAAAACACAATACCATTTTCTACACAAGTTCAAGATGAAGCTTGACTGACATGCACAGCTAACATGGAAGTACTGTAATCTAACTGAAGTCGTTGTACAGGCAACACACCAGTTTCTGCAGCCACCGTTTGTCCCTTGGTTCATACTGACTTAAGCACACTTGACATCAATTGCATCAAGATGTGACATGTTTTATAAGAAAAAAAACATTTAAAATGAAAAAAAAATATTTTTAGGTATTTTCACAAACAAACTGGCTTTTAAATAAAATTTGCTTCCATAATGGTTGAATATGACAAAAACAAAAGAATTTAAACTCTGGGGAAGTGGAAAAAGCAAAGAGGCTTAAGGCATCAGTTCCATATTTTTCAAAGCCAAATATGTAAATGCTGAGGAGAGAAAAATAAATTAAAGGTTCAAATCTTGTAATTTAATATTGTTATTAAAACGTTACTGTATATCCTATTCTTTAACATTTGGTGTTAATATCAAATTACTTGGCAATGCTTGACATTTGAAATAAACTTTTTTCTATGGTTTTATTTGCAAGTGGTCCAATTAATTTTACTAGTTACAGTTGGGTTATAGAAGTCTAAATATAAAAGGACACTGTCAAGGTTAGGTCAAAGCTATATCTCCTCTCAACTTTCTTACCCCTGCTCATTTTGATCTGTTAAGATTTTTTCTTCTAGACATAGGCCCAAACCACAATATTTAATATTCACTGAAATTCATAAATGTTCTGCATTGAAGTTATAGTCCATCCCTAGATATAGGAACCTGATCCAAAATGTGGATACAAGTTCCAGTTCTAGCGCTTTTAACTGCAAAGTACAGGGAGCCTGTAAACTGAGATTTTGGTTCATAGCCATCCCTATTTTTAGTTTATGAACATGTGTACATGTATATATACACATAATGTATATGTGTGTATGTTCATATATACACATACACACACATATATCAAAAAGAAACTGAGTAGAAGAAAACCACTTAAAATAACTGGATAATTATAAAAGAAAGCTATTTACACACTAAATATGGAGGTGAAAATAGTTCCCCTAAGAAAGATTTCAAGCTGCCAAGAGGAGATTCTAAGCAACAGTAAGTTAAGTTTTCTTATGAATAATACCTTGACAATGTCTTTTTAAACTATGATCAATAGTAGCTCAAAGACTTTAAATTAGGTTCAAGTGTGTAAAGCTGGAAAATAAGCCCTTCTATGATTCACATGCATTATGAATGTGTTTTGCAGTTTTGAGTTATCATAGCTCTTTCTGGAAAGGATTCCATCAACATAGATCTACTTAGAAATATAAAGGAATAATACATGGAGTTCAGACATGAATTTAACTGCTAAAGCAAACCAAACCAATACTAGATTCCCAGCCTTCCCTTGTGGATCAAGTACAGCATGTTTTAGTTCAAGACTTAATTTTTTTTTTTTTTATCTTGCCAAGACCAAAATATATGTATATTACAAAATTATATGTATTATTCCCATAGTATAATTAGTTCTCTATTTTATTTCACACTGAAATTAAATCAGAGACATAACACAGTTTAAGTTTGAATTCTTCCCTTCCATTTTACTAAGTATTTTTGCTAACACTGAGTAAAACAGTGCAATGTAGATTAGTCAGAAACCTTTAATCCCCTTTCTTTTACTAGCTATGGACCAGTTTCAGCAAGCATTTGCACACAATATTCCTTTGGCAGTCACCAAGGAGATATATGGACAGTGCTTGCTTTATCAGGTCTTATATTGGTAACCTTCCCATAAAAAAGTTTAACCATTTCTCAAGCTACACATGCTGACGTAATCCATAGCCATTCTGTGCATTATTCCTAACCAGGAATATTAGGCATACTTTCTTATTCTTAATATTCAATGCTAGAATGACCAAACTGAAGTCCAATAACAATATTCATATGGTACTAAAACAAAAATTTAAAACATAACATTGCATTACTATATACAATGGAAGGCTACTTGTTGTACCTCTGGGCCTACTCCTTTAAAAACTGTTGCGTACAAATCTTCTTTTGTCAAGCTTAAATAAATGTATATAAATGAAATAATGTAAAATTATATTTTCATGTTTTTATACTTACAACATGATGGGAATACATAATGTATGAGTATTTCAATTACAGATGATGTTGATTGGATAATACGCATCTCAGTTAAAAAGAAGTAATCATAGTTTCATATCCATGTTACGGTACATCAGTATATTGCTATATAAAGTATGTCTGTGTGCATTTAAGTGAAAAATAGTCAAGAATGATGACAGCTGTCCAAGGGTTTTTTTATTCATTTTATATGAAAACTGTTATGGAACAACCAAAATGTTTATGAACTATTCTTGTGTAAATTTCAAAATGTCCTTTACTGTAGCTTTTTGTTTACAGTACAGTATCTTTATTTCTGCTTTGTTAAGTGGGTATCTGAACAAAGCTGGAACGTATACTTTCTAAGACTTCTGAAGACATTAATGTTCCCAGTTTTTCATGTGTACCTATATGACAGAAAATGCTTCTGATTTTATTTTTAAATCTAACAAATGATGGCTTTTTCTGGAGTGTTGTATAAACTTCAATCATACATAAAAACATGTTCTTAAAAAAAGGCTAAAGACCATTAATCTGTTTTGTTTAGTATTATTGAAATCTTATTTCTTACTCATAAAAGTATTATACTGATCTTTACCACAAAGCAAATCTCTTTGTCCCTACTGATGTGAAATGTCCTTGGAGACTTTCTGAAAGGAGACTGTGAATATTCCATGAAAAAAATATTTTTTCACCTAAGGGCAACTTTACTGTGGTTTGCATTACCCCTCAACAAAATCAGTTAACTTTCTTGTCAATTATATAATTATATGTTCTGTACAAAACTCTCCTGATGATGCCTATAATGAGAGTAATGTAAGTTGGTATAGTCCTGTGTCAAATACTCATTAGTATTTGACTGCATCTAAAAACTGTCACATATTTCCTGGATCCCTAATTTTGATTTCAACAGACTATCTTCAGAAGAGAGAGGACAAGAGAATTGGCAAGTATTTATAGTAAACTTTAATGTTTTCTTATTATCAATCAATCCTAGAGCTGTAAAAACAAACAAGCAGTTTGTTTAACAATGGACAAGTATAATTTGCAGAGACTTGGAAGGTAAAAGATTCAAGTGACAATTGATAATAAGCAGCACGTCACAGCAGATAGCCTTTCTCAGGGATCCTCTCCCTTCATGCTGACAAGGCCGTAAGACATCTGCGTGGCAACTCTAGAAATTGCTTATATAAAAACAATATTTTGAACACAGTTTCTATGTTTTAATTGCCCTTTGATTCAATTTAGTGTCACAAAATAACACCAGCATCATGTGACCATCCACCTACAACCATGGGACTACCATTAACTATTCTCTGACCAATTTATCCATACAGACTAGAGACTACAGTCACAGGATCAGACCACTGTCAGGGGGGGCTCTGCCTCAGGGCTCCCCAAAAAGAAGCCCTATTTGGTGTCCTTTTGCTGAAGGAGAGGCAGTGCTAGCTGTAATGTGGTTGCACAAGGGGCAAGCCACTGGCTTTGAGACCCCGCCTTTTTCTGTCCATGGCTCCCCAGGAAATCTGCAGCACCATAAAGAGCTTTTTAATTTTTTTTTTTGTCATCTGCCAAGAAGGGGGGTGTTTTCTTCTTTAAAAATTGTGAGGGACAAAGTGCCGATATTCAAAACAGCACAGCCAACCCACTCCACTCCACTCCTAAAAAAACCAAAACAAAACCAACAACCAGTCTTAATTGTGCTACTGCAGTTCCCTCTCTTCTCTTGGACTCTGCTCTTTTTACTGTCACTCCATTAGGGTGACATGTCTAGCTTACCTGTGGCTTTAAAACTTCTACTAAGGTCTTCTCATACTCTGAATCATAGCACAGTATACATCAACATTTGGTCCCCTATTCCCCTCCACACACAATTAGTTCTAATGTGTTCTTTTTTACATAGGTGCATATTTTAAAGCTATATTAGATTAACGCAAATTGAAGTGAAAGAAAAGAAAGAAGAAAAAGATTGATTTGGCAATCAGTCCAGTTGTTTATTGTGTCTCATTGCATCTGGTTGCTGCATTAATGTAACAGAATTAAAGATGATAAATTTGGGAAAGATCTCTTTGGTCATCTAGGCCAATCTCTTAATTTAAGTAACATCATCTTGAATGATCTCATTAGGAATTTATCTAATCTGATTTGAACAAATGTATTTAGTAATGAGTGATTCAGCTACCGTGGTAGACAGTTAATTTCAGTGTTTCATTTATCTCATTGTTAAGGAAATATTTTCTTTATAAAAGATAAATGTCCATATTTACATTTAGAAATTAGTATCCAATTTCATTCCGAAAGCTATAGCGCAAATTCCTATTAACAATTTGGAAACATTTGCATAGATTATCCAGTTCTATACTTACCCTTTGAGCATAATGCATTAGCAATTCCCACTGATGGACTTCAGAAATGTCCGGAGTAGAACTGGATTATTGCTTAAAGTTATTCTCTCTCTATTGTGTAAATCAACTCCCTCCTCCCTCCCCGCAATTTTAAGGGTTAATCCAAAACCCTGTGATTACAATGGGAGTCTTTCTATTGACAAGAGTGGGTTCTGACTCAGGCTTTACTTGAAAAACTTCTGAATGTGGGATACATGTCTGTAATACATATCAGGTATGTAAATGAAAGCTGCCAGTTTTAAATATTATATAATATTAGTCATAATATAGTTATCACCATTAAAAATCAGAGGTCAAATTACACCATAGTTCTATCTGAAGTACCACATTTGGGCCCAGTCCTTTTATATTGGTATTAATGGCAAAGCTCCTCACATAGGTGACACAGGATTCCTTTAAGTATAGAGGAATTAGTAC